CCATTGTAACTTTGAAGTTGGTTTGCAAGTACCCTTTAGGTGGTCCATTGTAACTTTGAATGGTCACTACGTCACTTGTTGTTAAGTGAGGACTACTTGTATTCCTAAGGGATGTGGTGACTCAGTGGCTAAGACGCTGAGCTTGTCGATCAGAAAGGTCGGCAGTTCGAATCCCTAGTGCCGCATAATGAAGTGAGGTCCTGTTATTGTCGCAGCTTCTGCCAACCTAGCAGTTCGAAAGCATGTAAAAAATGCAAGTAGAAAAATATGGACCACCTTTGGTGGGAAGGTCACACCGTTCCGTGCGCCTTCAGCATTGAGTCATGCCAGCCACATGACCACGGAGACGTCTTCAGGCAGCACTGGCTCTTTGGCTTTGAAACAGAGATGAGCACCTCCCCCCTAGAGTCGGGAACAACTAGCACATATGTGCGAGGCAAACTTTACCTTTTTACCTGTACTCCTGCCAATTTTACCTGTACTCCTGCCAACATCCCAGAATGCTTTGCAGTAAGTTAGAATGCCATGGTTCGGCCCAGTGGTTTTCGTCAGTTCGTGGATCAGGTTAGTCCAAGGTTGCAGTTAAAATGACAGGGCAGATAGATTTCCAGAGTGGAATCCTTTTTATAACGTCTTTTTCCCGCCAGGCCCACTGAAAATGCAGTACTGCAACATTTCAAAAACAAAAACTTTGCAAATAGCAGTCCCAAATTTCCTAACCTAAAGTTGCATAACATACCAGTGGCAGAGGATAGACATGGGCTGGAAAGCTTTTCAGTTCCTCTTTCATTGGGAGGCAGCTCGCTCACAGTTGCGTTTGGAGGGCTGAGTATTTCCTGTGCAAAAGAAATGTGGTGAAAAATTGAATCTAAAAAAGGGAAAATAGGCCACCAGAATGATTGCCGTTAAAGGCCGGTGACATCTCAGCTGGTATGAAAAGGGCAAGGGTAAGGGATAATCTCTATATTATAGTTTAGGAGCTGAATTCTGCATATAAAAATGAAAATGAGCAAATTCCACCTCAGCATCAGGGCACAGCCGTGTCCATGTGATATTGGCAATGATGTAGCTTTCCAGGAATCTCGTCTTTTCCACCAAACCCAAAGCGGCTTGCCAGGTGTGATGGTGATGGCTGCCAAGTCACACTTATAAGATATGATGAAATCTCAAAAACGAGGAGTTGTGGCCGAATAAGGATTCAGGGGGAGAATGATGAGACTTCGTACTACTCAGTACAGCTTCTTGTCCTCCGTGCCAGTAACACAAGCAAAAAAATGTAAAACAGAAGAATAGCATTGCAATTTATACAGCTTGAAGAGAATCAATGTGATCTATATTAGCAATAGAATGCATACAGCCCACTATGGGGAAGCTGGCGTTGGTGAGAAAAGTAGAACCGAAAATTGAAAAGTTAGATCTTTCTCTGCTGTCCAAATCTACCCTAGCAGTTACATATTTATTTCCACAATATCTGGGGACGGTCCAATATAGAAGGCTGTGATGGAATGTACAACTGGATAAAAGATTTGGGGGGGGGGGTGTCTTGGGAATCACACCACAGCTTCTCAGGAAGAAGGCAGCACATTCCAGAGAGAGGCCCAAGACAACAGACCGTAGATTCCTAAACTGAATTGGTTGGGGGAGGAAAAGCTTTGGAGTATCCACAGCCTAGATTCTCCCAAGGGATATCTATTTGGTTAGATTGAAGGTTACAGCTTTAGTCTGGCAAGATTCCGTCTGTTAGGTGTAAGCAGTGGTGGGATTCAAATAATTTAAAAACCGGTTCTCTGCCTAAATGACCGGCTAGGTGGGCGTGGCTATCATGGGCATAGCCAGGGGTTGTGACAGGCAGTACTCGGCCTCCTGCCCCACCCTGGAAGCCAAAACGAGCCACAAGGGGCTGCAGCACCCTCCCCCC